TACTGTCAACATGCATTAACTCACTGTGAAGTTAAAATGTTTCATCAGGTCTTGGTAGACATGTATATGGCCTCATAGCCCAACTTTCTTCTTCGGTATTTGTATCTAAAATATAGTTTCAGAAATCTTTTCGATACTTTCAAATCCTTAAGTCTAAAAACTTTTTCTTCCAGCAAGTAATGCTGGAAAATCCATGACTGGTGCTGTAAGTATACTAAAACTTATAAACTAGGATTTATATATATGTACTAATACATGACTTTGTATCTTCAAATATTGTCATTGATTGTGTTCTGTTAATTATTATAAGCTTCAACTTTTTCTGAAAAAAAATGTCTTTAGCAAATGACAAATGCATGGCAGAGGATCATTGAATCATTGTTATATTTAATACATATCATATATTAAAATATTTGTTATAAGGTGCATGTCTTTAATCTCAGTACTCAGGAGGAAGAGGCAGACAGATCTCTATGAGTTGAAGACCAGCCTGTCTACAAAGGAAGTTCCAGGACAGTCTCCAGAGCAATACAGAAAAATCCCTTCTCCAAAAAGTCAACATTTTCTAGTTCTCTTTTTTAATATTGATAGAATTCTGTGTATATATATATGCACATATATATATAAATTTCTATTCAATTGTGTATATAAAAATTCATTCACATAATATAAACACATTATTGTGGATGTGCAGCTAATTTTTGTATACACATTTAAAGCTGTTTTTTTCTTATATAAAAGCAAGGCATATTCCATTTTAAGTATTGTAAAAACAATAAATATCACATTGAATGATGCTCTGTGGCCTTTGAGACAGTGCATTCTAATTAATGACTTTTCCATCTTTAGAGGAAGTGAAATCTATGTCTTTTAGACCAAGACACATACCACCATGGGAAAATGTCACCATGAGATGATGCTGAAAATCATCACATAAAGCCCCAACTCCCAGAGACATTTTCCTCATGAGATGAGGTAGAAACTAGTAAGGTGAAAGTGTCAAGACAACAAAATCAAGACAAATGTAATGTCCTGCTACAGGTGTACACTGAGTAATATTTAAATCTGCTTACTTTAAATGTTCCTATATGTCCAGACATCTACAAGGTTGGCCCCAACTAAGAATCTAAGCAATAGTCAAGAGGCTACCTTAAATGCTTCTGATAATGAGATTCATGCCTACCTTATATGCCATCCTAGAGCCTTCATTCAGTATCTGATGGAAGCAGAAGCAAACATCCACAACTAAACACTGAGCTGAACTCTGGAATTCAGTTGCAGAGAGGGAGGAGTGATGAGCAAAGGGGTCAAGACCAGGCTGGAGAAACCCACAGAGACAGCTGACCTGAACAAGGGGTTGTTCATGGACACCAGACTTATATCTGGGAAACCAGCAAAAGACTGATCCAGACCCCCTGAATAAGGATGTCAGTTTGGAGGTCTGGTTAATCTATGGGACCTCTGGTAATGGATCAGTATTTACCCCTAGTACACGAATGAATTTGGAGAGCCCACTCCAAATAGAGGGATACTTTCTCAGCCCAGACACACTGGGGAGGGTCTAGGCCCTTCTCCAAATGATATGATAGACTTTGAAGATTCCCCCATGGAAGACCTCACCCTCCCTGGGTAGCTGAAAGGGGATGGGATAGGGTGTTGGTGGGTAGCAGGGGAGGAGGGAGGAGAGGGAACTGGAATTGACATGTAAAAGAAACTTGTTTCTAATTTAAATAAAGTTCCTGTATCTTTAAGCATTTATCATTTAATTACAGTGAAACACTTAAGACATTTCTTCATGGCCTTTGACCTGTGTAGTATATTATTGCTATCTGTGTTTACCCTACTGTATAATCATAATTCATCACCTCCTGTTTCTTGTGATGTTTATTTTTCTGCTTTCACCTTACATAATGGTGAGATGAGGCTGTGCCTTACTCAGAGTGACTTTCTATTTTGCTTCTTATGCTGTGCCTTGTCTAAGAAGCACCACTTTATAAGTAGCACTAGACATCATTTGGAGTACAAATGTGTTAACAGGACTTCTCTGACAGCTTGGTGGCCATGTGTATAACACCACCTTTTCAGTAACAATAATTAATAATTAATAATGTTTTATTTTTCATTTTTTAATTGTCTTTTTGGACAAATGGGATACAATTTTGTTTTCTCTTTTCTGTATTGTTTGTGTGTGTGTGTGTGTGTGTGTGTATGTGAGAGAGAGAGAGAGAGAGAGAGAGAGAGAGAAAGTTTTATCTTGATATATATGTCATTATCTTACACATTGTTTTTTTCATGACTGCTTTCATGTAATCAGAGACATCCAGCATAGCTTGCTATTTTCACATTCTTGATCCTTTGGACTATACACACATTTAGCTGTGTTTTTGTATTTAATAAAAAATGTTCACTGATGCTGGGCATATCTCATATTAAGTTTGCTTCCTCTTAGTATGATTTAATATAGCTTCAGAGAAAATAAAATCAACTAACTTTCTCTACTACAATGTAGGCATCTGTCTCAGTCATTTACACTTTGCAAAGTCTTTATTCATACTCATAAACTTCTATTCATCATTTTCTTAAAAGTTAAATTTATATATGCAAATATGTGGTATGGTATATGTAAAAATTCCAGCTTTGTCATCTTATATGGTCCTGTTGCTAACATATTCACAGTGAATTCAATATAATGTTTTAGCTAGTTGTCTCATTTATGACAATTACTGGTATTTCCTACTAGACTTTCCTGAGTTCAAGTCACATGATTGCTTTCATTGTTCTCTCTTCTAGCTTGTGTTGCAAATGAACTTACCCAACTAACACATTCCTGGTTGGTAGGGGCTGACAGGCTATCACTTCTAAGGTATGTGATGTGACATATCTGGCTCAGTAAACACTCCTTTATACAGTGTTCTTACATAACTGTTCTCCTTACTGCAGACATTAGCGATAACTACAGATTAATTGGATGTAATTTTTTTCATATTTGTTTACGATTTCCTATAAGTTTTTCAAGTCAATGCATATAAAATGTTCTTCTCTCTTCTAGTGCATAGTTTTAGACTGAAAGAATTTTACGAGGATATTATCAATTTTTAACTCTGAAAAGTACATTTTAGAGGACCTACTTACTGTTATATATTTTGTAATTTTATTTAATGTTACTTTTATTAACAAAGATTCATAGTAGAAAATAATAGGTTCAATAATATTTTTCACATATATGTATTATGGACTTGGCTCTTACCCATTTATGCCATTTCTTCATGCCTGATCACACTCTTCCACTTCAATTGAAGTAGACACCATTATTATACAAAGTTTAATATTTAGATTTCACATATTACAGACATCATAAAATAGTTGCTGCCTGTGGCAGTTTGAAAGAAAAAGGCCCTCAAAGGGAATGGCACTGTTAAGAGTTTTAGCCTTGTTATAGGAAGCATTGCCTGATTGGAGGAAGTGTGTGATTGTGGGAGTGGGCTTTGAAGTCTCCAAGTTATGTTCAAGTTATGCTCAGTGTTACAACTCCCTTTCTGTTGCCTACCTGTGGATTAGAATGTAGAACTCTCTACTCCTTTCAAGCATCATGTCTTCTTGAATATTACCATATTTTCCAGCATGATGATAATGGACTAAACCTCTGAAATAGTAAGCAACTCAAACTAAATGTTTTCCATTGTGAAAATTGCTATCGTCATGGTGTCTCTTGACAGCAATTGAAACCCTAACAAAGACACTGGCAAAGTTTATACAGTAATATGTAACATGCTTATAAAACGGGCATTTAATATGATTATTTGACTAGTTATATGGTACATGTAAAAAAAAGCAAGACAACATTTAACTATCAATAAAATATTGATAAGAACTAATGATAAATATAAAAGAAATTTCACCAGTTGCTAGGCACTAAATCTGTGTTATTATCAGTTTTTAAATCACATAAGAAGTATTATCAAAGAGAATCAACTCTAATGTAACAGATACTTTGCATAGGCAACAGGCCAAGGAAAACTGAATGTTGACATAACTCTTTGACCCCAGGAAGAAGATTAATGTACAAAACAGTACTAGCATTTGTAGTGTGCCTCCTGAAACCAAGTAATTCAGAAAAGTATGATGCCATCTTTTAAAGAAGTCTCAAAAAATATCCCATCTCTTCAATTCAGCAGTTTGTGTTGTACAATATTAATTACATCTATGTTTAGTAAAAGCAAATGCATGCACTAAGGTATATCTGAACTTGGCCCTTCAATTGTGTCCTAACAAAAGAAATCCTGAATACAGTTTTGGGGTCCTCATCTGTGAGACAACAGAAATACAATTGTCTTTCTTTTTCTATTCTTATTGAAAAAAATTAATAGAATCTATTAGGATTATTTTGTTCCATAGTTGTGTTTCTTCTAAGCATTAATAAACTGTGTCTAATACACGACAAAAAGCTACACATACGAACTTGCAACAAATAGGATCTGAAAGAAGACAATACCAGTGGACAGTCAATTGTGGATTCCAGAAGGCTCATTGTTCCCTATCACTGGATGAAGTTTTACAAGTTATTAATAGCTACTGAGAGGGAGAATCAATTTTTCCAGGAATGAACCTCCTAATTGGTTACCTAGTGATTAACCTAAAAAACATATATAAATGTGAAACAACAAAGGGATTTATATTGATTACACACACACATATAATCAAAAAATATTACACATATGAAATGGAATGAAAATGAAATGGAAAAGAAAGAGGGATGAAATAATGTAAACACAGTACACATACATGTAAGCAAAAAAAAAATAAAAAGAATAGCACAAAAATACATTTTAAAAAGATTCTGTTGACCTTTCCATCTGGACTGGAGGCTGCTGGCTGCCAGCCACTGGAGTGCTCCAAGTTGTTTAAACTAACCATTTCTAGGTCACTGCTGAGGCCCATCACATGGTCCAGGCCAGAGGAGGGCAAGGGAAGGAAGAGTGGCATTGCCGTGGGCATGGGCTATGTCCTCTTCCTCGGGTACTGCGTCTACTTCAAGTGACCCCAGCTTCAAGACCTGGCTTCAAGATCGAAGAAAGAAACAGAAGCTTGCTAAGGAGAGAGCTTGGCTTTCCAGGTTGCCTAACTTAAAAGATGCTGCATACGTCCAGAAATTCTTCCTTAAAGAGATACAGTGTGGTGAAAGGTTATTAGGAAGCATGTGGCCAAATCAAATACTGTGTGTGGACAGCTTCAGCCGATGCTGCAAGTGTTTACAGCTGATGCTTCCACCAACTGTCCCAATTGCTCTGACCAAGCTTCCAACAATTAATCAGAGAATTGTAATCGCTGAGAACTTGGCTGAAGATGATTCAAATAAGCTGGTTATCAACAAGATAAGATCTGTTATCTGTTATATGATTTAACAATTAGCTTGGAAGCTGATCTGGCTGGCTCTGGGGGAATAAGGGCAAATATACTTGTTATGAACTGTCCTGCACTTAAGTTACCAAATGAATGTGTACTTTGAGAAGATCCATTTTCTGTTCTATTTTTCCCCCGTGAAAAAGTATTCTGACAGAGCTTTCATTTTATAAACACACTGAGTTAAACAAACAGGGAGAAAAGGTGTCTATGGCTTTCACTGTTTTTGAACAACAGTATGTTGTAGTAAAAACTGTAAGTTAGGTATAAAAATGCAACAATGTTAAAGGTGATTTCAAGTTAGGGAATTAAATATACATGGTGTGTGTCTGGGAGTACTTTCTAAAGAGATAAACATTCTACTACATTCCTTGAAAACTGTTCATCATTGTATAATTTCTACTGGAAATACTAGTGCCCACATTTCGATTATTTATATGGTTAGTTTACTGGTGATTTTTGTCTTTATTGACAATTCTCACAGTGACTAAAGTGATTTTATGACATTTATTAGCTAAAATTTCATACTACGAATCTTTACTCAGGGAAGTAATATTTTAGTAGAGTACAGATTATGGCAAAATACGTCATTATCACCATGACTTATCTCTATCACTCTTGATTCATTTTAAAGAACTCTTCACTTCCACTTTGCACCAAAGAGTAATTAAATTTCTATATGGCCTAAATTGCTACTTTTACTTTTGATACAGCGATTTTACTGAGATAAGTGGAAATGTCTGAGGAGGAATATTTTATGAGTATATAATTTATGCATTCATATGTTAAAATTGAAAGCAGTTTAGTCACCAAACTATAAAATATCTGCTGCATACAAGAAACACATCTCACCCTCAAAGACAGACATTACCTGAGAGTTAAAGGTTGGGAAAAAATTTTTCAATCAAATGGACCCAAGAAACAAGCAGGGGTAGCAATCCTAATATCTAACAAACTAGACTTTAAAATAAAATCAATCAAAAGAGATGAAGGAGGTCATTACATACTCATCACAGGTGAAACCCACCAAGATGAAGTGTCTAGCCTGAACATCTATGCCCCAAATACAAAGGCTTCCACATTCGTTAAAGAAACATTATTAGAACTTAAATATCATCTAAAGCCCCAGACAGTTATAGTGGGAGATTTCAACACACCACTCTCACCACTAGACAGGAATACCAGACAGAAACTCAACAAAGAAGCAAAGGGTCTAATAGAAGTAATGACCCAACTGGGATTAACAGATATCTATAGAACATTTCATCCACATAAAAAAGAATATACCTTCTTCTAAGCACCACATGGAACCTTCTCAAAAATCGACCACGTATTGGCAAAATATCAAACCTCAGCAGCTACAAAAAAATTGGAATAACTCCATGCATCTTATCAGACCACCATGCTTTAAAATTAGAATTCAACAACAACACAAATTGTAGAAAACCTACAAACTCATGGAAATTGAATAATGCTCAACTGCACCATCCCTGGGTCAAAGAGGAAATAAAAAAAGAAATTAAAGACTTCCTCGAATTCAATGAGAATGAAGACACAACATACCCAAACCTATGGGACACTTTGAAAGCAGTGCTACGGGGGAAGTTCATAGCACTAAGTGCTCACATGAAGAAACAGGAGAACAGTTATACCAGAGAATTAACATCACAGCTGAAAGCTCTAGAACACAAAGAAGCAAACTCCCCCAGGAGGAGTAGATGCCAAGAAATAATCAAATTGAGGGCTGAAATCAATAGAGTAGAAACCAGGAAAACAATACAAAGAATCAATGCAACGAAGAGTTGGTTCTTTGAGAAAATCAACAAGATAGACAAACCTTTGTCCAAACTTACCAAACAGCAGAGAGTGAACATGCAAATTAACAAAATCAGAAATGAAAAGGGGGACATAACAACAGACTCTGAGGAAATCCAGAGAATCATTAGGTCATACTTTGAAAACCTGTACCCCACAAAATTTGAAAATTTAAAGGAAATGGATGACTTCCTGGACAGCTATCATTTGCCAAAACTAAATCAAGAACAAATAAACAATTTTAATAGGCCTATAACCCCTATGGAAATAGAAGCTGTCATCAAAATTCTCCCAACCAAAAAAAGCCCAGGTCCAGATGGCCTCAGGGCAGAATTCTACCAAAAATTCAAAGAACAGCTTATACCAATTCTTCTCAAAGTGTTCCAAACAATAGAAGCAGAAGGGTCTTTGGCAAACTCTTTCTATGAGGCTTCAATAACCTTGATCCCCAAGCCACACAAAGATACAACTAAGAAAGAGAACTTCAGACCAATATCCCTCATGAACATTGATGCAAAAATACTCAATAAAATACTGGCAAATCGGATCCAAGAACACATCAAAACAATCATTCACCACGATCAAGTAGGTTTCATCCCAGGGATGCAGGGATGGTTCAACATACGAAAATCCATCAACGTAATCCACCATATAAACAAGCTGAAAAACAAAAATCACATGATCATCTCACTAGATGATGAAAAAGCCTTTGACAAAATCCAACATCCCTTCATGATAAAGGTCTTGTAGAGAGCTGGGATAACAGGGACATACTTAAACATAATAAAAGCTATATACAGTAAACCAACAGCCAACATCAAACTAAATCGACAGAAACTCAATGCAATTCCTCTAAAATCAGGAACAAAACAAGGCTGTCCACTCTCTCCATACTTTTTCAACATGGTACTTGAAGTTCTAGCTATTGCCATATGACAACAAAGGGGGATCAAGGGGATACAAATTGGGAAGGAAGAGGTCAAACTTTCACTGTTTGCAGACGATATGATAGTTTACGTCAATGACCCAAAGAACTCTACCAGGGAACACTTACAGCTGATTAACACCTTCAGTAAAGTGGCAGGCTACAATATCAACTCAAGAAAATCAGTAGCCCTACTATATACAGATGATAAAAGGGCTGAAAGAGAAATCAGAGAAACATCACCCTTACAATCGCCACAAACAACATAAAATACCTTGGGGTAATGCTAACCAAACAAGTGAAAGACCTGTATCGTAAGAACTTTGAATCTTTAAAGAAAGAAATTAAAGAAGCCCTCAGAAAATGGAAAGATCTCCCATGCTCTTGGATAGGTAGGATCAATGTAGTAAAAATGGCAATCCTGCCAAAAGCAATCTACAGATTCAATGAAATCCCCATTAAAATCCCAGCACAATTCTTCACAGACCTTGAAAGAACAATAACCAATTTTGTATGGAAAAACAAAAGACCCAGGATAGCCAAAACAAACGTCGGGAGGCATCACCATCCCTGACCTCAAGCTCTCTTATAGAGCTATAGTCCTGAAAACAGCTTGGTATTGGCACAAAAATAGACAGGTAGAACAATGGAATCGAATCGAATTGAAAATCCGGGTATTACCCCACACACGTACAAACATCTGATCTTTGACAAAGAAGCTAAAAATATACAATGGAATAAAGAAAGCATCTTGAACAAATGGTGCTGGCATAATTGGAGACTGGCATGTAGAAGAATGCGGATCGATCCATGTTTATCGCCATGCAAAAAACTTAAGTCCAAATGAATCAAAGACTTCAACATAAATCCAGCCACACTGAACCTCTTAGAAGACAAAGTGGGTGGTACCCTTGGACGAATTGGTACAGGAGACAGCTTCCTGAACATAACACCAGTAGCACAGACAGTGAGATCAACAATTAATAAATGGGACCTACTGAAACTGAAAAGCTTCTGTAAGGCAAAGGACACAGTCAGCAAGACAAAAAGGCAGCCCACAGAATGGGAAAAAATATTCACTAATCCCACATCTGGCAGAGGGTTGATCTCCAAAATTTACAAAGAACTCAAGAAGCAAGTCTCCAAAACAGCAAAGGACCCTATTAAGAAGTGGGCTGCAGAACTAAATAGAGAGTTTTCAATAGAGGAGTCTAAAATGCCTGAGAGGCACTTGAGAAAGTGCTCAACATCCTTAGCCATTAGGAAAATGCAAATCAAAACAACTCTGAGATACCATCTCACACCTGTCAGAATGGCTAAAATCAAAAACACCAATGACAATTTATGCTGGAGAGGATGTGGTCAAAGGGGGACACTCCTCCATTGCTGGTGGGAGTGCCATCTGGTTCAGTCACTTTGGAAATAAGTATGGAGATTCCTCAGAAAAATGGGAATAAACCTACCACAAGACCCAGCAACTCCACTCTTAGGCATATATCCAAAAGATGCCCATTCATACAACAAAGATGTCTGTTCCACTATGTTCATAGCAGCTTTATTTGTAATAGCCAGAACTTGGAAGCAACCTAGATGTCCCTCACCCGAAGAATGGATAGAGAAAATGTGGTACATCTACACAATGGAGTACTATTCAGCAGAAAAAAATAATGGAATCATGAGATTCCCAGGCAAATGGATGACACTAGAAGAAACCATCCTGAGTGAGGTAACCCAGTCACAAAAAGAGAAACATGGCATGTACTCTCTCATATGTGGATTTTAGACATAGATCTGGGGAGTGACAGCCTACAATCGTATGGCCAGAGAGTCTAGGAAACAGAAACTTCATTTAGTGGCTGATCGAAGAAGAGGCAGGCTCCCTTGGTTAAGTACTGAGCTGAACTCAAGAAAGCCAGTAACAGAGAGGGAGGACTGATGATCAAAGGGATTAAGATCAGGCTGGTTTAACCCCCAGAAACAGCTGACCAGACAATGGTTAACTCTTGAATCCCAGGCATCAGCCTGGGAATCCAGCATGGGACTTATCAAGGCCCCCTGAATCTGGGTGTCAGTGAGGAGGCCTAGGGAATCTATTGAGCCTTGGGCAGCAGATCAGTACCCATCCCAAGTATACACACGGACTTTGGACTCCCATAGAACAATGTGAGGTGCACTCTCACCCTGAACTCTTGGGGAAGGGTCTAGGCCCTGCCCTATATGAAATGACAGACTATGCACACCCCCATGGAGGGCCTCACCCTC